CCAAATATTATAACGCCATAACTTTTATATTCTTTTATTAACGTTATGAGTTTCGTCAAAGAACGTGTTCGCGAACTCCAGGGAGACATAGATGCTATATACCAAAGTCAGCAGTTTACAGTTACTTCTGCACTTTCTGCTTACGATGCAAAACGCGTAGAAGTTTTAACAAGTGCTATTCAAAGCATCGAGTTGGACGAAGGCAAGGTGCCAAAGTTAAATTTTGTTCTAAAACAGTTGGACACTGTAGAAAAGATCTTTCATCGATCATGGCAAACTACCGAAGACCATGAATCAGAAAATGAACATCCCAATTTTACTCTCATCTAAAATTTGTTCTAATGATTAAAAAATCTTCAAAACAAATACACAATCTAGAGTGGATATTTTTAGCTAAAGTAGCCGTAGTAATATATGCAAACTTGTTGGACCGCTTGTTGTTTTCTACGTTACCGTTGTTAAATGAAATTTATTATTGGGAAGAATTGCGAGAAAGTAGACTTTGGGCTTGGAATTACTTATTTCAAAGTTGAGTTTTTGTCATAAATCATTGGCGAGGATGGTGAAGGATACATAAAAAATTCTGATTTTTATTATTATTATTGCTTTTTTTGATTTCTTTTAGCATCCCCTATTCGTTTATATTCTTTTTCCAGGGCAATGTTTAACTCTATTTATCAACGCTATCAAAATGTTTCAACAACAATTTTGTCTTTGCGACAATATTTTTCCAGAAATTATATGATCAATCTCTTTCCAGATCATATGCACATACGTTTATTAAATATTCAATATTTTCAATCTTTTTCGATTTTATCTTTGATTCGTTATGAAATTCGGTGCAAGAAACTAAAGCTCAAAACTATAATGGAGTATAAAGCTGCATGCTTAGGATTATTAGTTGAAAATGGGTTAAATCTTAAAGATGTCGTTCAAGAAATGAATAATAAAGATAAAAAAGAACAAGGGATTGGTTTTGATACATTAGTTGGGAATAAATTGATCGAATGCTTGGTTTTGATGGAAAGAATTTTGAATCAAGCGATAGAGTTTGATATTGAAAAAGGGAATGTACCAAGTATAAATATTATTTCTGGTGGGTGGAAATGTTGAATTTTTATTTTTTTAATACAAATTGTACTAATTCCTAAAGACGCTAATTAAAAAACAATGAGCAGATAACACGAAAAATCCACCCAGAATACCATCTAAATTAGCTTTCTATACTCATCTTCGTTCCATGATTACTAATCATCTCCCACAGTATGATGAACATTCAACTCGAATTATTTCGTATTATGGTCGCCCATCAGTTATTACTCGTTGGTGGATGCCTACTATTCTATTATCTGTTGTAACCTTCAAAGTTAGGAAACAGATACATTGGGTTGGTTAAAATTGTATCAGGTCTGTTTTTTTCGCAATATAAACCGATCCTTGATAATGAACCTCTCTCGTTGGATGGTTTTCGTAATCAGGAAGATTTCCTGAATTGGATTGAAGACATTAAGGAGACCACGGTCAATCTTTGGAATGATTGGATATGGGAACCTGTAAAAGGAATGTGGGATACGATTAGACACAAAGAAAAAAGACTAGCACTTATGGGTAAAGAAAGTCTTAATTCGGATTTAGAGGTGATTATTGTACCATATTTTTTTTGGAATTGAGAATTTGGTGACATAACTTATAATTTTTCATATGTATAAAGTCTCTGGAACGAATGGTTCTTGATTTCGCTCGTGACCAAAAGCAATTTACTGCCGAAGAAATCAATGAACTTTCTAAACGTATCCGAGATGGTGACTTGTCACTTGTGTTGAAAGCTTATGAACAAGAATTAAAGGTAATTTTACGATGATAACTATAGTTTAAACTGTTTGCATTTTTTTTATAGCGTTTCTATATGCACCATTTATAGAATCCAGTTAAGTCCACTTTAACAGGCAAGTATTTAATAATATTCTATTCTATATTTTATTTATTCTGATATATCAAACATAACGAAATGAATAGCCAATATATTGATTATTATTCTCCAAAAATTAGGCAACCTCATCCGTACGTTGCTTATTCAGGTTCAAAAGACCAAAGTGGATTTAGAACTTTCTATGACAGCATTAGATAAGCTTTTGAAATCTAATGAGTTGAATTTCGCATTTTTGGCCGTTGGACCGAGTATTCTTATCGCCTACTTGCTTTTTAATTGGATCAAAAGACTTTGGTGGAAAAAAGATATATGGTTTAGCGGGTTACAAGGAACGAAAGTCCAAATGCGAGAATCCTTGCGGTAAGATAATTTAGAAATGTGGTTTAAAAAAATGATATGCACAGGTTTTCAAATCAAGCATTCTTACTACACATAGCCAAGTGGAACGTTTACTTGTTCACAGTTCCTCATCCTTCGCCACGCAAGGTCTTGTGCTTTGTCATGTTCATCATCTACGGTCATGTTCCTTATATTTACCAAGTAAAAATAATTTACGTAATCGTTTTTTGGAAGACCTCAGAGATCTGGATGATCCTAAGATGACAGTGCAACAAAGAATTTGGACGTGTGAGCGCATGTGGCGCTGTTGGGCATTCTTGAATATTGGTGAATAGTTAATAATAGTAATAATAGTTAAGATTGGTGAATAGCTACTATTAGTTACTATTTGTGAATAGTAAGCAAAATTACAATCCACTTTTTTCTATACTATCAGTAGAATTCTGAAATCCCGCTGGGCGTCAGTGTAATCCCACTGGAACAAATAAATCTCTTTATTCTCTTTGGTTATTGTATTGCAACTGAAGTGACCTTATGAATACGTCATATACCTCACGTGATACAAAAGATGCGCGAAACTACAGTGCGGGCATCCTTAAACAACTACCCGACAGATTTTCACTGATCGACAGCGATGGACCAATTAGATTACAAGATCAGGCGTAACGTGAAATCAAAACAAAAAACAACA